AAAATTTCATAACCCATCTTATAAAATTCCATCTCCACGAGTCAAAAAAATCACATCCCTCATCTATCGTAACAACTTTAAAGGTAAATAAATAAAAGTCTAATTACTACTCTAAATCCATTATCTATATAGATTTTTTAAAAATCTAAATTTCACCTGTCTAATTACTCATATTTTAGATACTTTTAAATATTATTTGTATAATTTTTTTTACACATTTGCTCTCTCTATTTATATACATATGTGGAGGTCAAATGAAGAATTTTTAGACATATTTTCCTTACGGGTAGTTTAGAAAAATTTAGGTAACTTCAAACATTATTTGTGAATAATATAGAATAGTTTAGATGCTTTTTATAGATGTTATAAAATATTTTAAGTATTTTTAATATTTATATATCATACTTAAAAAGAATAAATTGCCAAAATAAAAACATTTTTCAGTGCCCGTCTTTGATTTTGTCAAAACAAATCTCATAAAATCGGTGAAATCAAAATTTGTACGTAAAGTCTATCTATACTAAAAAAAAAGTGGATTCAAAATTTTTTATCTAATTTCTTCTTTTCTTTATCTAATTTCTTTTTATTATCTAATTGTATAGAAATCTGTTCAGATTTTGTTCAATCCTCTAATTGTATTTGTATTATATCCCATCAAATCAGTTTAACAAAAAAAATCTCATAACATCCGATAAGTAAAAAAAAGTACGTAAAATCTTTACTAAATAAAAAAGGCTTATCTAATTTATTATCTAATTGTATGGAAATTTGTTCTGATTGTTCTGATGTTATAGTACGTACTACAAATTGTGCACCCGTATTCAAGAGCTACTTAACGGGAAAGCTATGTGGAAATAACTCATTTATTGCTTCTGTCCCGTGCATACGGTATGTATTTGTATTACACATACTAGAAAATTGTGCACCCCGCGCATCACACAGACTCTTTACTAATAAATGACCTTAAAATTGTGCACCCCGTGCATCACCCGTGTTCACATTTTGGCCTATTATAGGTCACGTACTATATATATTCCGTATACTTTTCTTTATTGATTTATATAATTATAAGACTTGATAAATGACCTTAATTTTGTACACCCCGTGCATCACACGGGATTTGTACTAGTTTATATCCAAAATATATTTGTAAACAAAAGAAAAAGTGATTACTTGTTTTTTAATAATAAGCACTTTGATTTTCGAAAACAGGAACCCAGATAACAGTGTTGCTTTTCATAATTGTGTCTTTCCTTTTATCTATCTCTCATCAGTTTCCACGAACAGTTGGTTTTTGTGGAGCCACCTTCTTTTCATTTCCCCCAATTTTTCTACTATCAACCCTAATTCCATGAGTTATCCATTTATCCACTCCCGATAAAACCGCTCTCAAAGTCCGATCGTCGATCACTTTACGAGCTTCTGCCTTAGCATCTGGATCTCGGAGTTTAATTAAGGAAACTCATCGGATTTTCACGAAGGCATCGAACTGAACAGTGCGCAGAAGCCGCCGCCTCGCCGCCGCAGCTGACACTGGACGAACCGCTGGGAAAGAACCGCAGGGAAGAGGGTTTGTGAAATCGGCAGTGGCGATAAGGATAAAGGGTCGTGGTGTTCGATTGTGGTGCTGGGTATTGTAGAGAGAGCGATGATACCGCTGCTTTGAGGGAAACGCCGTCGTTTTGGGTTTTGGGACGAAGTTAGCAGGGCAGAGAAGGTGACGGTGCAGGCAGCTGAGAAGAAGATGGATGAATGTGATAGTGGTGGGCCTGGTAGCGATAAGGGTTTGGGAGCTGATGAGGAGGGAAGCACCGCCCCTCTTCCTGAAAGGGTTTGTATTTCTTTTAATAGTGTTTTAAGGGTTTATGTACTTCTGTCTATGCAGTGTGTGCATATTATTGCTATTATTATGTTCTTTTTCAGCGTGTTTGAGATTTGGGATTTGCTGCTTTTGGGTACCGATGGGTTTTGGCATTTAAATATGATCCAAATAGTTGGTTTAGGTATTAAAAACTAGATGTTTAGTTTTCTTCTGGAGTAGTGTCTGATATGAAGTGATGGGGTTTTGGGTGTTTTTCACATCGGGTTTAAGCATACATCTACACTTGAATGTGGAAACATTCACAAATATGCATCTATGATTCACTGGCTTGATGGGATGATATTCTTATATGTGTTACTTGTGACTTTTTGTTCGTGTAGTTTGCGAGAAAACATTTTATTAGCTATTAAATTATTTAAAGTGAAGGGAGAATTACGTGTTCCATTTGTGCCTATTTATTCCTGTAGTTTCGGGAAAATGTTTTATTACACGGTATAAAGTGAAGGAAGAATTACGTGTTCCATTTGTCTGCTGTCGCGGTACATTGTTTAAAAGTAGACGTAGAAATTATTATTTTAATAAGAAAAATTCCAAACTGCTCATAAATGTTTCAATTGGTTTAATGCTGGATATCTTTTAACAAGTTTGTTCTGTATCTAGGTTTTCCTTATTACATCTCTATTTAAATGCAACAGGTTCAGGTTGGTGGCTCTCCACAATATAGAATTGAGAAGAAACTGGGTAAAGGCGGGTTTGGGCAAGTGTATGTAGGTCGAAGGATCAACTCTCCAATCCCAAATGAAAGAACAGGTCCAGGGGCTCTGGAGGTATGTACTTTGTCCTGTAATTTTCATCCGTGACCTTTGTTTGTGGGTTTTGGTGTCAATGTGTTATTGCACTTCAGGTTGCTTTGAAATTTGAGCACCGAAGTAGCAAAGGCTGTAATTATGGCCCACCTTACGAGTGGCAAGTCTACAGGTTGGTGCTTAAATTGTATATTATAATAATTAACATGATTATCATAATATATATCGGCGAACAATGTGAGCATTGCATGTGTTTTTCTCCAGTGCACTTGGTGGCAGCCATGGAATACCGCGTGTACACTACAAAGGACGCCAGGGTGATTATTACATTATGGTAAGTCCATGAAGATAAGCATTTGTCAAGATTTTTTACTTATCATTTGCCGCATGTTATGGGCTCGACAATTTTTGCAGGTTATGGATATGCTTGGCCCTAGTCTATGGGATGTCTGGAACAACAATTCCCACACGTTAGTTGCCTTTCTTGATTAAGTTATTGGAATTTACATCTTTTTTTCATTCTCTTTAGCTGTATAATATAAGCTGAAAATCGAAATTCTTTTCTGCAGGATGTCCATCGAGATGGTAGCATGTATTGCTATTGAAGCCATCTCCATTTTAGAGAAATTGCACTCTAAAGGGTAATTTTTCAGCATAAACAACTCCAATTTTGTACCTTTTTATGGCCCCTACTTGCAAATTTGATGTGGTTGTAATGCGAAAAAGTGCATGCATTAACTTAAATAATTTAAATCAAGAATTAATATTTATTAACCAATTAATAATTATGTAACATTATTACCATCATGTTCCCTTTTATATCAAGATATGCTTCTCACTATATTATTCGCTCAACTGCTGCAGATATGTGCACGGCGATGTAAAACCTGAGAATTTTTTGCTTGGTCCACCTGGAACACCTGATGAGAAAAAACTTTTTCTGGTGGATCTTGGATTAGGTAATTTATATAACTGGAGAGCTGGAGCGTTTTTATTTTGCATAGCATGCACAATCTTCTGGAAATGGAAATTTTTATCTGATTGCCACATTTCAAAATTTGCAGCTACCCGGTGGCGTGATATTTCGACGGGTTTGCATGTGGATTATGATCAACGTCCGGATGTATTCAGGTGAAGTTGCGCCTCGTGCTGTTGTATTTCATTAACTTTCGTCCCGTGAATTATATTTTGATGTGTTAAAATATTGTTTGCTCCAGAGGTACTGTGCGGTACGCCAGTGTACATGCCCATCTTGGAAGAACGGGTAGCCGAAGGGATGATTTAGAGTCCCTTGCTTATACACTCATTTTTCTTCTCCGTGGCCGACTTCCTTGGCAAGGGTATCAGGTTGGCAGCTGTAGATCAGGAATCTGATATTTTTTTTTTTTTGAATAATTGATAAATTACAAATATACCTTTCTGGTTAATCGACCACTATATGGCTCCAATTATCTTTGACCATTTCCTCGAGGTGTTTTACCTAAACACCTCACTTCATAGGGTGATTTTTTATTTTTTATTTCACAAAACAATCATTCTTCATGCTTTTGTATTTTAATTAGGGTGAGAATAAAGGTTTCCTTGTTTGCAAAAAGAAGATGGCAACTTCCCCAGAAGCTCTTTGTTGCTTCTGCCCTGCACCTTTTAGACAGTTTGTCGAGTACATTGTTGGCTTAAAGTTCGACGAGGAGCCTAATTATGCAAAATATATATCCCTATTTGATGGAATAGTTGGTCCAAATCCCGACATTAGGCCAATCAATACTGAAGGTGCTCAAAAGGTATCCTTCGACGTGTTCTATAATTGTGTTCAAATTCATCAGTGAACATATGTGGAATATTTTGGTTTTGTTTCATTCTCATTTTTACGTATATTTGTGCATTTTGAAGCTTATATATCAAGTGGGACATAAGAGAGGACGGCTTATGTTGGATGATGATGATGACCAGCAACCCAAAAAGAAAGTCCGCATGGGGATGCCGGCTACACAGTGGATTAGTGTGTATAATGCTCGGCGCCCAATGAAGCAAAGGTATCTTCAGACTAATTCTTTTAACTTTCTTTAAGGTTTCAAGAGAATGATGGATTTATCTGTGATTCTGTATTTGGTTTTGTAGATATCACTATAATGTCTCGGATATTAGGCTGGCTCAGCACATTGAAAAAGGAAATGAGGATGGATTATACATCAGCAGCGTGGCATCTTCTTCAAATCTTTGGGCTCTTGTAATGGATGCAGGGACTGGCTTCAGTTCTCAAGTTTATCAATTGTCTCCTTATTTCCTTCACAAGGTCTCATAACTTCTCTCTGTGCATTCTCACATTTATTAGTATAGCAGGTATTATTACATGGGGATAAATAGAGACTAACTACATTAAGTGTAGTTACAAAAAATATGGTTATAATTGGTCTTCAGATTAAAATGATCCCCTCGGAAAGTTATTGCTAACAAACTTCAACTTGTTATCACGTCGTGAAAGAGAAACATGTCTGGTTATTAGTTATTGTGATAGAATCTGTTTTTTATTTATTTATTATTATTATTTTTTTATTTTTTTTGGGTAATCGTGCTGAACATGAGGTTGTATTTGTGCCTAAGAACTTATGTTGTTCTTTAAGGCATGTCAACGGTTGATTGTATGAAGACTTCTCATTGTGTGCAGGAGTGGATTGTGGAACAGTGGGAGAAGAACTATTACATTAGTGCAATAGCAGGGGCCAACAATGGGAGCTCGCTAATAGTTATGTCTAAGGGTTAGTATCTCTATTCAAGGCTTGAAAATATATTTCTGAGTTATTAGTTGACTAATACAAACTGTTTTGGGTGATATTACTGTCAAAATATACAGGCACACAGTATGTGCAGCAATCTTATAAAGTTAGTGAATCATTTCCGTTTAAGTGGATCAACAAGAAATGGAGAGAGGGATTCTATGTTACTGCTATGGCTACTGCAGGTACGAGATGGGGAGTTGTTATGTCTCGGGGTGCCGGGTTTACTGACCAGGTATGTTTTTGTCATAGTCTATTCGTATTGCTTCTCACATATATATATTGATCTGTAAACTCAGTAGAGCCTAATTATTTATTTATTTTTTTCCTAAACAAATATCGAGCTACCTTTCAAAATTACTAATACCCTTTAATATTTCTTAATATTTTACAAACCACCAGCAAGCCAGTATAAGTATTTTGTGAAATAAATATAAACCGTAACTGTATTTGTAATTTTTGGACGGTGAGTGATTTTTCTTATTAATTAGGAAAAATCTTGAGGGTTTTTTTTTTATCCAAATGAGCTATTTTATCCTTTTAAGGTTGTGGAGTTGGACTTTCTTTATCCAAGTGAAGGCGTTCATAGGAGATGGGATGCTGGTTACCGTATCACATCAACTGCTGCCACGTGGGACCAATCGGCTCTTGTTCTAAGCATTCCCCGAAGAAGACCGACAGATGAAACACAAGAGACTTTACGGACTTCTGCTTTTCCAAGTGCGCATGTTAAGGTAGTCTCTTATATTCCTTTTCTTTTTGTTAGATTATTAGATACAAAAACCACCTCTGAAGAATTTTCTAGTTACTAAAGGTGTGATTGGATATGAATTTGATTTGGTTTTGATTGTTTTTTCTGTTAACGATATTGAATTTTGAAAAGGTAGTATGATAAGTTGTTAGTGGGAATTTGAGCTTATATTATAATAATATTTAAAATAAAATAATTAAAGTTGATTTGATGTAAAAGTAGGAGAGAAATGATGTAAAGTGACGATTAGTTAAAATTATTTGAGTGGATGAATAGAGAAATTAAATTGATGTAATGTGTAAGAATGATTAATTAATATAATTTAATAATATTGATAATATTGAAGACAGTGAAATTGAGTTAAATTTGAGTTTTGATTGTTTTTTTTTTTTTTTTTGTGAGTTGATATCCAATCACACCCTACAACCTTCGGTATCTATAGAAATTTCCAGGACTGCCCTTTGTTACAACGCAGATCAAGTCAAAATTATCTTAAAATTATCTTACAGATTAAATTCTCTTCTCTTTATTTATTTTGAATTAGATCGATCACACTGGATGGGGTTTTGTTCTAATTTTAAGTTTTTAACAACCTTTTGTTGTTGGGAGCTATTTCCTCGGATATGAACTCAAGTGATTACTCTCTTTGAATGTCAGGAAAAATGGGCCAAAAATCTTTACATTGCATCCGTTTGCTATGGAAGAACCGTATCTTGAGCAATCATAATTTGCTTCTTAAGATTTGATAAGAGGATTTTTACTTCTCATTTACTATATGACCGAATACCAAATTTTTGTCGTGTCGAGACCACCTTTTTCTCGTGGGTCCTGGAAGACCAGTCGTGCTATCGAGACCTTCACCATCAGTATGTTAACTTCTTTTTGGGAGTGGACTATGCCTAAGTGTCGTCTGAGTGCGTTTAGGCTGTGTAGATTGTGGTAGATGTTCAAAGGGTCGTATTATCTGACTTATTGCTTAGAATTTTGTATATAACGGCAGATTGTATTTTTATTTTGGTTGTGATTGTATTATGATAGGTACAATTAGCATTTTCAAATGGATGGCATGTATCGATTAATTGCTATTTCGAGTATTTTCTCGGTAGCCTTTGATTTGTTTTCACTATGCTTGATGGTGTTTTATTGAACTCGGTTAATTGCTATCGAGTATTTTCTCTTTAGCCTTTGATTTGTTTTCTCAATGCTTGATGGTGTTTTATTGAACCAATCCTCGATTCATTTGATTCTCAAGGGTTGAAAATTCCTTGAACAGCAGTTTTGAAGGCCCATGTTGAGCCGGAGTTTCAAATGATAGCAAGGTTTTTGTTCGTTCTGGGCTGGGCTGACTGAATAGCTCGGTTCTTTTGAGCTGTATAGTAGAAACCCAAGCCCTCATTTTTTTTTAATCGTTAAATGTAAATATATAGATCAAAATTGAGTTCGAACAACTGGTGAACGGCGTACAAAAGTGCAATGGGCAACCACAAGTCGGTTCCTCATTCACGCGATGATATATATTAGGACAGCCACATGTCGGTTGTTCACTCAAAAGTCACGAAAATCAAATATCATAGGCTGATGCACCGCCTCTCAAATTCGGCAAGCACATTAGGATAAAGAGCAAAGATAGTACGGTAAACATGAGTTTTTACCTTCCGGATCACATGGTTCGGGGATATGCATTCATTTTCAAATATCAACCGGTTTCTTGCATTCCAAATAAAGTACACGGTGGCCGCTAGCGCCGCTTTCTTCAACTTGGATCTCCAACCCGCCCCTCTCGCCTCCTTCTTGGTCCATTTGAGGGCACCTTTAAGGGTCGATGGCCTATGACGGAGGCTAACCCAAGCACGAACTTCACTCCAAATCTCCGAGCTAAAAGAGCACTCAAAGAAGAGGTGTGTCGAAGATTCATTCGCAACACCGCATTGAGAGCAAATCGGGTCTTCGTCAAGAAATTCGGGTCGGTCTTTTGTCCGGAGTCTATTAAGCACTCCCAACCATAAGATGAATGAGTGCTTGGGGGTATTGCAAGCCCCCCAAACAACCCCGGTCCATGGCCTCGTGGGTCCTCTAGGTCTTAAGAAGTCGTAGCACTTACTAGACCCGTCTTGTTTATCTCGAGAGCTCCAATCGCGAAGAAGGGCTTCCGCTCCTCGTTCACTTCCCGCTTTTTCAACCAAGCCTTGCCGGATTTCAAAAAGAGACTTGAAGAGAGGTGGGTCATTCGTGCCAATTTGCCAATCCCAAATGGATCTACCCTTCAAATAAATGTTGTGAATCCATTTGTACCAAAGGGCATCCTTCTTGGCTTGCATGTTCCAAAGCGTCCGAGTGAGTAACGCTTGGTTCCAAGATTCCAAGTCCCGAAGTCCCAATCCACCTTCCGATCGTGGTAAGCACAAACTATCCCATGCCACGAGAGCACTTTTCGAGCCCCATAAGAACCTCCTACAAAGTTGGATGATTTTGGTTCGCACAACACCGGGCAAATGGAAGATACTCATCCAAAAGCACTTAATGCCTTGGATTACCGAGCGGATAAGTTCCAATCTTCCGGCATAAGAGAGCGTGTGACCACCCCACCGACTAAGTTGGCTCTCAATTTGGTTGATCATATCATCAAAGAGCCGCCCGGTGATTCGTTCCGCGGTGAGGGGAACACCTAGGTAACGGAAAGGCATTGGACCACTTTGTAAGTTAGTGTTGTCTAGAATGGTGACTCGATTGTTCTCTTTGACTCCGGCCAAGTAGATGTTGGACTTTAGCACATTCATTTCGAGCCCCGACTTGGCCCCAAAATCCTTTAAACAATTCATGAGTGTTTGAATCGACACCGAGTCACCTCGAGAAAGGAGCATGAGGTCATCGGCGAAAGCTAGGTGCGAGATTTTTAGTTTCTCGCACATTGGATGGAAATTCAAGTTCGAGCCTTCCGCCGTGTTGCATTTGATGAGTCGAGAAAGATACTCCATGCATAGCACAAAAAGGAAAGGCGAGAGGGGATCACCTTGCCTTAGACCGCGAGCTCCTTTGAAACTGCCCTTGAGGCTTCCGTTAATAGATAGCGAGTAAGACGGAGTAGTGACACACTCCATGATCCACTTTGTGAAGACCGATGGAAAGCCCAAGCCCTCGAGCATTTGCCTCAAAAATGACCAAGAAACGGAGTCAAAAGCTTTTCGGAGGTCAATTTTGATTATGCACCTAGGGGAGACTCTTTTCCTCAAGTATAACCGAAGCAATTGTTGCATGAGGTGTATGTTGTCCGTAATACTCCTCCCTTACACAAAAGCGGCTTGAGCCTCATCAATGATGGAGTCGAGGACTTCGCTAATTCTCCTTGCAAGGATTTTGGAGCAAATCTTGTATACCGTATTACAACACGCAATTGGCCGAAAGTCCGTTACTCTTGAGGAGTGAGAGGACTTCGGGACGAGTGTGAGGGCGGTGTGGTTCCATTGCTTTAGGAGGGATCCGGAGCGAAAAAAACTCTTGAATAGCCGCAACTACATCATTCCCAACAATGGCCCAACTCTCCAAGAAGAAGGTAGAAGTGTAGCCATCCGGGACCGGGGACTTACCTCCCTCTATGTCTCTAAGGGTGGACTTGATTTCGGCCTCGGTCACCGTGGCAATAAGAGAGCTACAATGCTCAGTGGTAACACACGGTCCCGCTCTAAGGATTTGGGGGTCCACGTCCTCCGTTTCTACTCCGGTTCCCAAGAGAGCCTCGTAGTAGCTAATGAACTCCTTGACAACATCCTTCGTGGATTCGGTCACGGTGCCATCTTCCCGATTAATCGATGAAATGTAGTTCCGTTTTGCTCTCTTCTTAACCAAGCTGTGGTAGAATTTGGTGCATTTATCACCTTTAATTTGAAAATTGCATTTGGCCTTTTGTTGATAAAAGAGTTTCTCCGCTTTGGCCAAATTAAGTGCTTGGAGTCTAAGAGAGGGCGTCGTAGACTTGATATCGGGATCGTCCGGGTGATCATGGAGCCTTTGTTGCGCTTCTTCAAGTTCATTTTTGGCTTCTTTGGCTCGGCAAGAAATGTGGGAGTAAGCTTTCTCATTGAGAACCTTTAGCGAGCTCTTGAGGTTCTTTAATTTGGTGGTGAGGCGGAATTGTCTCCATCCCCCACCACCTTGGCTCCAAGTGTCCCGAACATACGGCAAGAAATTCTCATGAGTTGTCCACATGTTGAAGAAGCGCCAATGTGACCCACGATTGGCTTCGGCCTCAAAGATCGTCACAATACAAGGCGAGTGATCGGATATACCCGGGGCGAGAAATGTGGCATGTGAAAAAAAATCGGTATTCTCCCAAAGAGGATCCACCATGGCCCTATCAAGCTTGGACCAAACATGGTTATTGGTCCAAGTGTGGCAGAAACCACTTGAGGGGATGTCCGATAGCCCCAAGGTATCACAAGCTTCAAAGAAATCCATAGTGTCCCAGTTAGTAACTCTCTCCCCTTTTATTCTCTCCTCCGGTTTGAGAATAACATTAAAGTCCCCGAGGAGCAACCAAGGTAAAGAGATCCTCCCCCGAGAGGCCTTAAGCTCGCTCCATAATAATTTTCGGTCACCTCTTGAATGAAGTCCATAGACAAAGCTAGTAATAAAAGAGTGGTTACTAACCTTACAATGGATTTTCGTAAAGATGACTTGAGGCAAAGTGCCTTCCACTGTAATGTCCACTCTCGCGGGGTTCCAAAGGACGGCAATACGCCCACGAGCAACAACTAGGGATGGCAATGGGGACCCGATCCCCGATTACCCGTGGGGAATTCCTCTATTAGGGGATGGGGATGGGATGAAATCTTCCCCCATGGGGGTGCTAATGGGGAGAAAATCATCCCCGACGGGTAAACGAGTATGGGGATGGGGAACCAATCCCCGTCCCCGTTTACCCGCGGGGACCCGTTAAGCTAGTATACATGCTAGTTATTCCAATATATTTATACATACACATGAATGATGATGTAATTACATGAGAATATATTAAATATGTAAACATAATATCATATTATGTATGTAATGTGATAAATTGAAATCATATAATGTGATGTTATGCCACCTACATAGTATAAATAAAATACATATCAATAACAATTAGCGGGTATGGGGATCCCCGATAGGGATTTATCCCCGCGGGTAATGGGGATGGGGAGAAAATCCTTCCCGAAAGCATAAATGGGGATCCCCATGGGCAGAAAATTCTCTCGCGGGGATGGGTATGGGGAGTCAATACCCGATGGGGAATTCCCCATTGCCATCACTAGCAACAACGTCAAAATTTTCACAAAAGGCCCAACCCGGCAACCTCCTACTCATAAAGAGAGCAAGACGCCTATTGTCGGTTTTCGTTTCCAATAGTCCCAAAACATCAATGTTATTTCTCCGGATGAGGTTTACCATCTCATCTTGTTTTAGGGGCCCGTTAAAGCCCCTAATGTTCCATGAGGCGATGATCATTGAGAGGAGGAGGGGTGGCCCCCCTTCTTCACCGAACATCCTTTGCCCCCATCTTTCCTCCCGCTTGGTCTGTCTCTAGGCTTGGAGTGTTGTACCGAAGTTGCGGAGGCTTGGCTCGCGGCTCCACTTCGGGTGAGTATCTTGTTGTACTTCCCTACCACTTGGAAAGAGTCATTTTCGTTATCCGGAGGAGGGTTCTCATAGTTTTGGGCCTCCAAGTTCCTGGTTGGAGATGAGGAAGAACCGACATCCGAGGGTAATGGTCATCGCCTCTTTCCTCGTATCACAATTCCCATTCTTCTCATTCTTTTGATCACTTTTGTTTGTTTTATTCCCCTCGACCTCCACCTCCTTGGGTTTATGTCTCTCCCTTGTCCTTTGTTAGTGTCCCCCACTTTCTTGCTTGGTTGCACCTTTTCTTTTGGTTGGTGTTCTACCACTTTTTTGGTAGTCAACAAGGTTTCGACTTCTCCGACCGGTTTCTTGCCCTCGATTTTTTTCTCAAGGTGGGCTTTATGCTTCCCACAATTGGAAGTAGAGTGTCCAATGAATTTGCAATGGTTGCAATAGTGTGGGACATATTCATATTCTACCTTTTGCTCGAACATGAATTTTCCCTTGGATTTTACGGGGATGCTATAAACTCTTTCCTTGGAGAGGTCGAGCTCCACCAAAATCCGAGCATAGTTGCATCGGTCCCTCGTAGCCGTGAGCTTGTCGGTTGTGATGGGTTTACCGACATAAGAGGCTATCTTGCTAAGAGCATTGAGACTCCAACCCAACATTCCCATGAAAGGAGGGGAAGATTGATCCAAATAGGAACGGTCTTGATGTCGTCTTCTCCAAATTGGAACCAATTGGGAAGCACTTTTAGGATGAGCCCTCGCCCGTAAAAGGAGTAGGGGCCCCCACGGAGAACTTTATCTCTATCCTCTTCGTTTCGGAATTTGAAGACGATCCATCCATTAACGTTGGGGATGTAGTTGTATTGGACTTCCCAAGAGTTACAAAGCCTCAACAACGCCTCTTTGCCCGGGTGTCTTTGGGTAAAGTACCCGACAAGGCAAAAGCCTCAAGTGCTCGTCACATCCAATAAGTCGTCGTCATCAAGATCCACTCCGTTGTCCGGTGGAATGTAGTTTAATTTGAGGCCAAGCGAGGGCTTGCGATTGTCGGCAAAGAGAGCCGAGAATGACCTCTTTAGTGAGTCGGGATTTCTTTGTGTCATTTTGTCGAGCACCTTGTGGACGGCTTTAGAGGGTTGAATTTTGGCTTGATTTTGTTTCTCCTCTTGGCCCCCCTGTTTCACCTCAGCTATAACATTATTCACCCCATCATTTGCAGCTAAGTTCTCATTAGTGTCACCATTAGTATCATCATTGACCTTTTTATAACCAACCTCCATTTCCTTTTGAGCCATGGCGGTTTGTTCATCACCCGAGTCCTCTTGAGAGGAGTCATCATGTTCGTTGGAATTGCCGGAGCATTCTTCCTCCGTCAATTTACGGTAACGGAGCTTTTTCTTTGTTCTTGATTTGCCCATGCAGCTTGCGGGTTCTGTAACTGCTAGGTTGCTGCGGGATATGCTTAACACAATCAGTGGGAATCATAAACTCTCCACCAATTCGCCACTTTATTAAGAAAGAAGAAGGTGTAATGAATCAATGTAGAGGAAGCTCAAAGATGCAAGGCGCCATGGACGATTTCTTCCATGGGAGAAATTTTGCTCTTTCTCTAACCTTTTCTTCCAACGGAATAGTTCTTAGTTCTAATAGTTCTAACCCAAGCCCTCATTGCTTCAGCCTTCAGGCAACATCAGGCTTGACATTGCCGGCAACTTGCAAATACTTCCAATGCGGCCAACCATGAAGGATTAAGTCTTGTCAAAATGCATAGCACGCAAAAGTTGTTTACAAATCTGTTTCATACACATAAAATACCCTAACCGTAAATTACACATGAACAGATATAACATTTTGCAGAAGCTGAAACATAAGCCATATGAGAGGCAATCTTCTGAGGGAGTAAGAGAAGTTTGATTCAAAGTGATTCCATAGGAAAATCAAAATAAACAAATAATCTTTTCTCAACACAAAATTGTCAAGAATTCAATTTTAGCTGTAACAGAGTATTGATTAACAGCCATGATTCATCGAAGTCGAAGCAGCTTCTTCAACCTTTGTAACATGAAAAAAAAAGCCCCCTCTTACCGCGGCACGGATTGACCTAATTCTGCAATAACGAGGAAACAATGCATATAAGGATTAATGTCGTGTCATCAGATTGTACATCGATAATGGTTTAGCCAAATTGCAGTATAAAAAGAAGAAATGTGATTTTATCATAACAGAAAATAATAATAATAATAATAATAATAATAATAATAATAATAATAATAATAATAATAATAATAATAATAATAATAATAATAATAATAATAATAATACACTAAAGTGCACAGACACCTGCTTAAGCTTTGAATTTACCCAGAAAATACCTTCCTAGGGGTCCAATTTATCGAAAACGAGCACTTTTAAAAGTTTTTTTTTTTCTTCTTTTGATTAAATAGGCTAATCTCCAGGCAGTTTTTGTGATAAGCGCAATTCAAAATGAGAAATCAAAATTGGCACTTCAGTTATCTATCATATGATGATGCCAATCTTACATTCCAATCTTGCTGAAAGGATTAGAAACGTAATAATGGTATCCAATTAAATCTACAAGCAAAACACACGTTAACGCCATATAATGATGCACCAAAAGAAGCAAATACATCAAATGAAGAAAAGAAAGAGAGATTGACTAACAAAACTTATTCTCACTATTGAAATGAATGAACAAAGAAGTGCATATCTTACGGAAAACTTTACAAAATGTATCAAACTCCAGGGTTGGCACTGCAGAGCATACCCTGAGACAAAGACCTGCAGCTATTGGTGTCTGTGCCCAGACAAGACGTGAGCCTTGCAGACGAGACCACTGTGTGGAGGGGTAAAAGAGACATTAGGGCACCCATCTGAGGCAATGGCCTGACAATGCAAGTATATGAATGAACATAAACAAAATTACGGATAAAAAAAGTCATCTAACCCGGAAAGTGCAAGAGTTGATGGATATATATCGACTGCATTGGTTTAAATATGTCATAATTAAGGCAAGTTAAACTTTAAAAGAAGACAATGCATTCCTTAAAATAGACATTAGGGCACCCATCTGAGGCAATGGCCTGACAATGCAAGTATATGAATGAAAAGAAACAAATCACGGGTTTATTAAAAAAGCAGCTGCATTCTCCTTAATGGAGAAAAAATCATCTAACTCGGAAAGTGTAAGACTTGATGGATATATATCGACTGCATCGGTTTACATATGTCATGATTACGGCAAATTAAGCTTTAAACAAGAACCCATTTCAGAGAGGGTGAATAAACTTGCAAAACATGCAAACTCGAAAACCAATCTTTACTCAGTATTCATAGGGCTGCAAAAGAGTCGAGCGGCTCGCGAGCGCTCGAGTCAAAGCTCGACCCGAGCTCGAGTTCGACGAAACTCGAGTCGAGCTCGAGCCCATATGTAAGCAAACACTCTCAGAAAACGGGTGTCGTATGAGAAAGCCATCAGACAAAACATAACAAAATCTAACGACCTTAAACTCAGATCCCTCCAAATAAAATCGAACTTTTCACATAAATAAGGTAGCTGTAGGCTCTAAACAGAACCCCATTTGAACCAGCGGCCAAAAAATGCGACGAGATACACACACCAAAAGCTAATTCCATAAACATGACGTAAAATCAGCTCCGATTTTGAAGATCGAACCTTGAGAAAAGTGACGGGGATGATCGGGTTGGTTGAACGGAAAAGACGGGCCTGCTCGCCGGCTTGGCGATGGCTGACTTGAGAAAGTTGATCGCCGGTTTTGAAATTGTTCTGCAGCGATATGCCATTTTTTGGTTTTGAATCGTTGCAAGCAGGGAAAATATGAAAGAAAATGATTCGAGGGTTTTGGGGAGGTATTAGAGCAGCTACATAATGTAGTACTTCGTGCTTCAGATGTTGGACTTCAATGTTTTTATTATTCATATTGATTTATTTTTTTTCAGCAGAAGATTTTTTTTTTTTTTTTTGTTTTCAGGAGAAGTTAATATTTTTTTGTTCAATAATTGGTGCGTTGCAATAATTTCTGAAATTTCAAATTTGCAACATAACTTTTAACTCATTTTTTTTTATCAATTTTGTATTAATTTTTTGAGGTTTGTATTTATTTTATATAAATTATATACATATATTTTTTTGTTCTATAATTCGCGAATTGCAGTTTCATTTAATAATTTCTTAAAAAAATTTCAATTGTTCAAAACTACTTTAATTTTCATCAATTTCGTGTAAATCAATCCATATATTAAGAAATAAAGATTATTCATAGGCGCCTTGCACAAAAGATTATTGATTAAAAATCCTAATGTCAAAATTTCTGCTAATCAACTTCGACAAAATCAACGGTTATTTTCTTATCCATACATTTTTCAAAATTAACAATAACACATACTTATAATTAGAAATTAGTACGTAACTCGTGCGATGCACGAACAAATATTATAAATTGTATGAATTAAAACAATAGAAGAATATTGATAAACATAAAAATGGTTTTGAATATTACTATTATTTTTTAGTTTATTTTAAAATATGTAATAATTCCATATATGATTTATATGTTTATTTCACTATTTAAAAATAGTTGTTTAAGAGCTAGCTGATTTGGGAGTTTAGGAGTTATTTTGGTAGTTTGTTTTTGCATTTTTTTTTTTATTTTAATTCTAGCGTTGCTTGTGTCGGATTTAGGCAAGTCCTCTGACCTGTCCTCTCAGTTTATTCAGCTTTTGGCTGCAGCTTGGAGTTGTAATTTGCACATTTGTACATTTTCATCTATAAAATTCTCTATCGTTTCAGGAAAAAATAAATAAATAAATAATCCTCACAAAATATTTATATTTCTTTAACTTTTCTTACTCATACCTTATTACAATATATTATTTGGATTGTTTAATAAATTATGCTAATATTTGGATTGTTTAATAAATTATGCTAAAGTTGATAAATTATCGCAAATTTTACAACTAACATTTAATTGAAAATGATTGTAACATATATATTATTTTGAAGTTAAAAATTTATTAATTTTTAATTACGTGAATATTATTTCATTTTTCTTATAATTTATAATGATGTACATTATGAAAATATTTGAAATTTTCTTTCTAATCTATTAACTTATAAAAGGACGAAACATCATCAATAACAGAAAAGTTGAGATAGATAACATCATTCTGTACTGAGGGTTCAAATTGCAAAATACACATCATCACAAAACAACCTAAAAGTTCCAAATAAAACATGTATTCATAGTCACAAATCTGAAATGAGTGAAATAAGCCTGATCACACAGCAACACAAGGAAGTCAAATTAGTAATTACTGATTCAACACTTCCCATAACATATCCTCATTCACCATAGCTCTTCTCTTCGGGTAAACTTGACAGCCAACGAACTAAAAAACCCGGGGATAATCCTGCCACAGAAGGCCTTACTTTCAAATTTCATTACAGTAAACAACAAATATGATTCCAATGCTTGAAGGAAATCGAGTAATCATGGGATCACTACTCCTTTAATCTCCATAACTCCAGAACAATACGGATTAACCTACGTTGGGAACAAATGTATTTCAAATCTAGAGCAAGCTGGAAAAGAATTTTGTCCATAATTACATTTGCTATATATCCTGAATTTACACCAACATTGCATGAAAATTGTAGAGAAAAAGATTGGTTATACAAAACCAGTAAAATACGAGCACTGCTAAAAAACAAATAGACATGTTGGCTGCTTCAACACGCAACTAGAGGTTCAAAACAGAAGAAAAGAGATATAAACCATACCACTCAATTAGAAAAACCTAGAGAATTAGACATTGAGAAAACAATTAAGGAAAAATGGTAATGTTAATTCAGATTTCGAACACTTATAAAATTGTGTAGGTTAATGACCAAAGCAAAGATTTCTCTTTAGGACAACTTTTTGAAAAGAGTCTCGAAGGAAAAACAGTCTGCTGATCTATATTCTCTGAAGAAAAATTACACCTCTCTGAAAGAGTGAAAAGACATCATTTTTATTGTATCCAAAAAACACCATGGTTTGGTATATTCAACATGTTACAGCATACCATCCTCATTAACCCTAATTAACCTTATTAGTGATCGAAAACGCTTGAGAATACTATAATTGGCTGAATAAACACCATCAATGTGCTAGCAAATAAATACTCCAATCCAACAAAAGCATGCCTAATTCAGATTAAACAAGAATGAAAAACATCTACATTCAACTTATGGTTTCACAATATATAAGTGTTATGTGATGGAAATGAGTTCTTAAGGAAGACCAAACAGTTCCTTGAGTCCGTTTGAGTTATAAGTTATAACTAAGCAGCCATACTTCAAAAACAATGACACAGAAAAACACTAAAATGGACCAAAGAAGCCACTCGAGAGCTCACAAAGAGTAACCAAAATAACAATTTGCTCTTACTGTATGTCAGAGCGAAAGAAAGGCAGCTAAGCTCGTGTAACTAATAACTATACATTTTTATAAACGCTAACTTTCATAATAATAAAACAACACCAATTACTTACCTGAAGAAATCACTTTTGCCTACTGTTGATTCTGAGGAGGAGCATTAGGCGGTGGTGGCATTCCCGGCCTAGGTGGACCAAACATTTGAGCTTGTCCGCCGGGCATAGGTGGCGGCATCCCTGGCCTAGGTGGCTGCTGCTGACCTGGTGGGGGCATTCCAGGCCTAGGTGGTGGCCCACCAGGTGGCGGACCCCTCATCATCTGACCTGGCGGCATTATTGGCGGCCTCTGTCCAAACTGAGGTGGAGGAGCAAATCCACCTGGCAGCGGCTGCATTCCAGGCCTGAACTGCGGCGGATGAGGCATAGGTGGCATTCCCGGCCTTGTTGGAAATCCTCCCGGTGGCGGAGCCACCGCCGCCGCCGGCGGCGGCCTCACGACCGGCGGCTGCTGAGGGTAAACCATGGGCGGCACCGCTATCTGTGGAGGCCGCGAGAACTGGGGCTGCATCATGGACGGCGCGGGCCCACCAACGCCGCGGACGGGCCCGGCGAGCCCCGGCTGCGCGGATATCGGGCCGGCGGCAACGCCCCTTCCCGCCGCGCGGCCTATCCCCGGACCGGGAATGGCGCCGGCCGCGGTCGTCTTGAGACGGTTGTCGTCTGGGGGAGGGGGGCCCTCGACGGTGAGGGAGATCACCTCCTCGCCCCTGAGTAGGACGAGGCCAAGGGTGCGGCGGTCCTCGCGCTCCTCCTTGGAGCCCTTCGCCGGCGGAAGCTTGCGGAACTCCTCGCAGTCACCAAGGACGAGGTTCATGTGGCGGTCGAAGGCCATGAATTTTCCGATTAGCTGGCGGCCGTCCTGGATCGTCACGCGCATCCGGTAGTTGATGTACTGGAGCATCTTCGAGCTCTTGGACATCGACATCTTCTTTTGCCCCAAAATTTGCAGCCCAGAAGCTTTCTCTCTCTAGGGTTTGGATCTCGTGCGAGGAGAAAGCGAGGAATGAGTAGAGTGAGTAGGGTTTTGAGAAATTGCAGGGTTTCGCGTTTTTATTCAACTTAAAGCGCCCAATAATTCGACTTCGGTTGTCTCGTTAGTTTTGATAAAACTAGCCCAACCAAAAGATGAATTGTTCAAACTCGTTATATTTGATAAAATTAGCTGATAAGCTAGTATATAGCTTATATGTAACTTTTGAGTTTATAACTTATGACTTATAACTGAAAATCTAGCTTATATGATAAAAGTGTTTGCTAAATTAGCTGATAAACTAACTGAAATAAAAAATTCAACTAGCTTATTTGAAAAGCTACTTAAAGCAACTTATGAAATAAGCTCGAGCTTTTAAAAACTCGTCCCACTAGACGAAGCTTATTTTAATACATGAAAACATATAAGCTAACCAAATAACTATAAACTAGCTTATTTGGCTTACCAAACATACCTTAATACTCAAGCTTGGACACAGTCGGGCCTGACCCGGCCAATGGGGTTGACGGATTACAAAATGAAAAGTCGGAACCAACCGAGATTATGGAGGTTCCAAATCACAATATGCTAGTTTTGGTTTCGGACCAACCCAACGGGTCTTCATGTTTTTTTAAATTTTGACCATTTATCTTGCACCAGATACAAGTTCTAATTATCGAGATTAATTATAGTTGGATCGGTCCCACCGGTTCAAGGTGGGTCGATTTTTTAGTTTTGAATTTAAATTCAAATTTTTGTCTCCGAATCCGACTAGTATGACCAATTTAAGGTTGAGCCTGATCTAACTCGTCCGCGTAATACACGAGTTTGGTTCATATTTTGGCTTCGGCCGACCCACTGACCACCTCTGCTCGAGTTTGGGTTTGAATTTAATCAGGTCAAGCAACTAAATGAATCGAGGAACGAGTCACAACTAATTTCATTTATTAATATTGATGGGTCAAATTCAAATCTTAATAAACTGAAATAGAGAAAATTATATATATTGTCATTTTTAGCTTCACAACTCGTTAACTAAATAAGTTCTAAACGAGCTCGAGCTCGATTAGTTGTGACTGAGCCAAAAGGAAAACTCGTTTAGTTTATCGGTTATAAGTTTGGAATCACATAAGATACACGTTTTCAAAGGAGCGACTTTATTTAACGCAGAAACTTCCATTAAATCCCGGTGAATTTTTTTCACTTCCCACTAACACTCTCTCAGCCCTGCAAAACCCTGGAAGAAAGGAATTTTCCGGCGATATGCCGGGCGTGGCGTCAGATTCCGGCGAATTCAGCTCCCTCTCCATCGTCCCGCACTCAGTGAACGAGCAGGAACCGAGGGTTTACCCTCTGCGGACCCGCGGGGTCGCTTCCCCACCCGCACGCCTCTCCATCTCGTGGGCCCGTGGCAACAAGCTCCGTGTTTCACTACTCCAGCAACCGGAGGGCTTCGTTGATAATCCCGGTGGTGAAGTTGTGGAAGTGAAGCTCAGCAACGCGGATGGAGGAGAAATTCCCGACCCACAGTGGCGGAGGATCGCGTACGGCTCGGTCGGACCCTTCGCGCTTCTTCAAAGCCGAAAGAATTCGATTGACTCAATGCACTTCGATAAAGACTGGTACTATATTCCAGCTCCCTTTTTTCAAACCTGTCTTGCGTTTTGTAGCTGAGGTAATATTGGTTGCAAATTTGATTAATATTTGATATTTCATCCTGGGTTGTGGTTTTTGAATTAAATGAATGCGGTGGATGGGATGGGATATGAGCTGTGTTGTTAATTCGCATTGCTTGTGTACCTTTTTTTGAGCGTGTGCGTGGTCCAACTGTAAGCTTGGATCATATTATGTGAAATTTCCTGAATTCTTAATCCAGGTTTGTTGATTGATTTTAGGCGAAAGGGACACGACACCTTCATATTTGGTAGTTCTAGCTGTATGGTTCTTGATGAATACTTGAAGAGGAATTCCATTTTTTGTAGAGCTTCTCGTTTGTCCCATGTGTTTCGATGCTCTTAACATGTTATTTGTTTTACAACATAAAAGAAATACTGGATAAAATTTATTGAGTTTCAGGATGTTGTAGAATGATGAGGCAGTTATTCAGGATGTTGTAGAATGATGAGGCAGTTATTCATTTGTTAAAGAATGATGAGGCAGTTATTCATTTGTTAAATTTATCTTAAATTCTCTTAGTATTTATTGGTTATGCTAGTTTACGCAGTTTTTTGATTCTTCTGGTAGCTGTAGTTTATAAGATAGTTTGCTCTATTAATTGTTGATAGCATTACTTGGTTTTCACTATTTTCTATTCAGCAGGCATTCTGAATGGTTTCTGGATTTAACTATTTTAGGAAAAAGTTTAAAATTGGGTGTTGAAATAGATAACTTTGTGTTAAACGTAACAGGTGGGAACATGTGATGGAGTACAGCAAGGAAATAAGTTCTCTTCTTGATAATTCAAAGCCATCTGTTTCTCCAATGTTTGAAGACTCCAAAACCGTACTGAAGGTATATCATGGTTTTGGATTGGATATCTGCATTGATTCTGCTTATCTAAATTTTAAGATTCCTTAACAAATTTACTTGTCCATGAAATCAGAAATGTGAGGAGCCGACCTCTCTCAAAGCTGCGTGGGAACTGATGGAAATATTTTATGCAGACAAGCAATCTCAGACTTGGATCACCGAACGTCTTCTAGATTGGTTAGCTGTACGAAATTTTCAATTGCTGACCCTTTTCCTCTCAACTGTTATTATTTTGTCCACTTGAACTAGTAATGCTTGTTCTTTCATACAGGATTTTGATTGCCTTTTCTCAACAAGCCAATCAACTGTATACGCGAAACTTGTGGCTTTCCAAGAAAATCTTGTCACTATCCAGGTTTTAATGTTGATGACTTATTGGGTTGTAGCGTGAGTCTGTGATATGGGTATGCAGTATTACGTTTGACATTTCATTTACTTGAGATCTATTATGAATTTCCGTAGCTTCTTGGTTTGGTACAAATCATTTTCTGAGCCCACAACCTCATCTGGTAATGAAGCAGCTGGAAAAATACCTACTGTGTTGAAAGGCTATGAGATCGCAATTCTGATGCAGGATTGAATTATAGAAAACATTAGCCGTTGTTCTGCAATTTTGTTTTGATATATTTAACTGGAAATAAGTTTAGGTCAGAGCCTAACATATACATTTTCCATTTATATGGTCTTGTTGGAGTTAAAATGTTAAAAAATTAACTCATTTCTGGTTTAACTATGTTGGGATGTTGCAAGAAATTAAAGTGAAATTTCAGTTGTTAACGTTCTCATGGAGATATTAAGGTTCCAAGCTTTTCTTTGTCCATAGCCACTAGAGCTTAAACTTTTAAATCAGTATTCAATCTTTTCATTTTCTATCTCAGGCAGTTGAGAATGATCCAGAATATTGGGAAGTTCTGTCATCAGCCTTAGCTGTAGGCTGGCTTGATGTTGTTGTAAGTTCCATTTTAGCATTAAAGGGGGCAAAAAAGAAAACATTATGTATCCTTTTTTCCAAAGTTTAATGTGCAATGCGTGTAAACTGCTTATTGGGAACATAAATCGTTGCAGGTAAAACTATTGCGCTTGCATGGATCTTATTTATTTGATCAGCTAGGAACCCGCGAGGTCTGTAAGAACTGCTATATTTACACTATATTAAAGTATAAATACCCGTGTTGCTTCATCGCATCCTTGAAAAGGTTTTTCTTTACCTTTATGAGGTATAATGGATCTTCTATGTGCATTTGAAACAGATAGAAAATGGACTTGTGGAAGCAGTTGCTCTTCTCATATCACAGATGCCCCGTTTACGGCCTGATCTTCCGGAAGAAAAACTAGGAGAATGCTACCTTACCAGACCGGAGTTTATGAAGGTAAAGTAGACCCTTCGGCATTTTACATGTACTGTGTGTATAGCTATGCTTCTACTGAAATTTTTAAATTTATTAGGCATGGGAGAAATGGCGAGGTCAAATTACAAAATTGGACTGCAGTGCATTCTGGCTTCAATGTGATCACGAGGAAACTCGACTTGGACTGAAAAATATGCTTCAGGTCATGTCGGGAAATGCTAGTGTCCTCCCCAAAGTTACGTACCATTGGATAGAACTTTACATTTCCCACTTTTTGTACATCAGGCCCTTCACCGTGGTTAGTGCAAATTTCATGAATCTTTTTCATCAGTTAAGATTTTAATTTATTCCTAGCCTTTTATTGTATAGCTTATGTGGCCTAGCCAGAGAATGGAAATCAAAAGGGGAATAGTGAAGGCAGAAACAGTTGATATATTTGTTCTATTTCAGGGTTTAGAAAGTATGTATAGCCTAGCTCAGAAGTGCATGCACTTGAAACCTACTACAAGTCGTCACAAGCTGATGGGATTATTAGTTGGGATTCTAGAAGAAAATACGGAGGTGAAGAATCGAATCATTTTTCTAAAATCATTATTTTGCTGACCTGTCCATTTAGCCAGAAAATGACTCTTCTCTATATGATTTAGGTTGTTCTAGCTGAATGCTCGAGATCATTTGGCCCCTGGTGAGACATCTCTTCTCTTTTGTATACAGTTCTGGTTCTACCTTTTTGTTCTAGTTAATTCTTTACAAATATTATTGACTGGTTATATGGGTAGATGATAATTGGTTACTGCTCATGCATGGGAAATTATTTTATTGATGGATGAATGCGTGTAATCTTATATCCTGCCACGATATGGGATCCAATTGAGAAAAATAGTATTACATGTGATCAAGCTTCATTACTTGGTAATCTTTGAACAGGATGATAACTCATGCTATAGAGCTGTTGGCAGCTGGGAGTACTCAAGCAGAAACACTTTTACATGAACAACGACAAAAAATGGGTGGAATCTGCATGGAAGAACTTTACCGTTTGGTTTATGCTCAGATTCTGTCCTCTCATGCCTTCACATGGAATGTAAGCAGTCTGTTTCTTTTGATCGTCGATTTTTATGCATCTTAGGGTGTGTTTGTTTATCAATTATTTCAACTCCTACTCAAAAGTTAACTCAACTTTAACCGAACTCCACTATCCTCAATACTATCAATATAATTAAATAATATTAACCAATCATTCTTCATATCACATCAACTTTAATTCAATATTTATCCACTCACATAATTTTAATTAACCATCACTTCACATCATCTCTCTCATACTTTTACATCAAATCAACTGTAATTATTTTAATAAAAACTCAAAATCCACCAACAACTAATCATACCAACATTTTCAAAATTAATCATGGTTAACCCAAAAAAAAAACTCGTTTTGAAAGGATATATTTGTATACAAACACTGCCTTAGCCTTTTGGACTTCAGCTTCTTGTAAGTTAGAAATTGAGTTCACCTTATATTGTTTGTGGATTTGGCTTGGTGATTACTTCCCGTACATTTTCTTGTCAGCACTCAGCAGAGTTTGCATTGATCAACTTTGCATTTTGTTGCTATAATTTGGTGGTGGAAACTTTACACAGAAGTTGCGTTTTTGTACCAGAAGTGGAGTAGAAAATATTAATTAATATGTGACACACTGCTGGATCAATCTTTGCCTATGATAGAAGTTTGAAAGCATGCATATGTGAATGATGTTGCTGGCCGTTCGAAATTTTTTTCAATCTTTAAAATGTATTATGTTTACGAGCTTGCTCGTGTCATATATAATGTTTAGTATGGACACTGCTTCCAGCCAGCCAAATATCACTCCCCGTGTATCTTTTGTACCTCGAATGCTTACAATGCTTCTGATAATCTGATAAGTGCCTTATATAAATGTCTAATCAAGATTTTTTAATGCACATTGCTTAAGCATGTGATCCAATCACATTCATGAAACTGCGTGCTTTGTTATAGTAAAGTTGTCTAATCAAGATATTTTTTTTTTTTATAATTTCCACCCCCCTTTTCAATTACCCATAACTCTCATACTAATATATAATGTATATCTTATCATGTTTGTTCTTCAGATTGCTCCAATATATTTGACATCATGTATGAAACAAGGACTGGGCTTGCTGGAGAATTTATTATACAAGCAGCCTGTGCAATATCATCAAGTTCTACTAAAGGTACTTTTTTACTTGCCTTTTGGCTCACGGTTTATCTCTAACTTCAGCTTAAAAATCCGTTCACATCAGTTCATTGAACTGTCAAGCTGATGACATCAACATTTATTAATGGGATTGATTCTTAGTGGATTCTATGTGTTCTATCTTAACAGAGCATAGAGATTTGCCGTCTCAATGAACTTGATTTCCTTAGTTCCAATTTGATGAAGGTATGTCTATTTTTTTAGTTATAATATGCTGCAGCCTTCATTTACCAAGAAAATGACGGTTATTTACATCACTGGTAATTTTTTAAAAATTTTAAAGAGTTTGCTGTTTTTTTTTTTCATTTTCTTTGAATTTAGTTAAATCTTAAGGGTGCTAGTATTTATAATTGTTACAAAATTACAGTTTAATGCAACTTCCTTTGGTTTGCTTCATATTCCATTTGCTTGGTTTGTCATCATATATTGTTCAGAATCAATCGTCTATTTTCTTAAAAAGTTCAGTATTGTCCCAAAACCGTCTTATGAGCCAGATCGCCGGTGTACATTACTGGAAACATGGGAAAAAAGGTTCAGCTGTTTTCTGGCTTCAGCAAGCTCGGGATGAGGTCCGCTTAAACAGAATCGCCAAGCAGTTATATAATTTTGTTGGAAAATCAGTTTCTGATGAAAGTTTCAAGGTAATTTGCTTAGTGATGCAGCGGATAGCATATGAAACTGTGTTCATAGAACACAACGAAGAAGAAACCGTTTTCTTTTCCTTTTTGATTCAATTTTTCATAATACGATAACTCCTTACATAGATAAAACATCTGTTTAAATAATACATCAAGTCCTATCTACTATTAATTAAAAGCCCAAACACAATAAGTCCACTACAACATAATAAAAGCCCAAACACAACATAAATAAACATAAACTAAATAATAATAATAATAATAATAATAATAATAATAATAATAATAATAATAATAATAATAATAATAAAGTCCGAAGTCGATCATCTTGGTCGAGATATGCTAATGCAATCTCGTCGGCATCACTTAGTCTCTATGGTAATAATTAATCTTTGATAGAAGTCAGTAGTAATATATACACTAATATTGTTTTTTTTTTTTTTTTCGGCAGCTGTGGGAAGGAATGATCGAATTATTAGGGAATGAATCGAGAACTGCTGGTGGACTTGAGTTCCTGATAAAGTATGCAATCCTTCAAAGTATATCCTGAAGTTCAAAATTTAATATGTCCGATATATTGAGTTATTCATATTTCCTTTTGCACTAATTTTAACCATTTTTCCCAAATAAAAAATATCAGGTATAGAGATTTTAGACGATTCCTTCAGCAAGTTCAGGAAGGAACCACGACAGATGATACTCGAAAAGCTGCCGAAGCCCTTATATCAGTATGTTTTTGCGTTTCTATACTGAAAATGTGAAGTTAACTCAGAACTCAAACAATAATAGATTATTTGAAAAATACCTCTGGTTTACGACTTATTGGTATATTTTTTTATTTTTTATTTTCCTTGTGGCAGCTTATGAGAAACCCTTCTACACCCCAGCAGTTTTGGCTACCTCTCTTATACGACTCGGTTAGCCTTTTTTACTTTTGTGCAATTCAATATCTCTCTCTCTGTCTCTCGCCTGAATATTGAGCCATTTATTGCCTGCAGTTGAAATTGCTCGATTGGCACGAACGACCCTTGTTTGATGTTTCACAGACCAACTTGTTGCTGAACAAATTACAAGAATTATCCCTTGTAAAATTGCTGCCGGGCTTCATTGACCCCGGGCTGCAGCCCGAGGCCCTGAAGTCCGTCCGGCTGGCCCTCGCCACAAACCTCGGGCGAGCCATTCTAGACGAGTGATTTTTTGTACTTTTTCTACCTAAAAAAATCCATGCAGTTTTATTTGTGTTCTATGGATTGGTAATTTTCATATACTTGGTGATTAAAAGCAAATGTGTTGTAATTTACCATGAATATGAGTATTTACATACATCATTTGAAATGATTTAGAACGTAGAAGCTTAGTTGCCGCTGCAAGTCTTCATCTTTGTGTCAAAATTTATTAAATTTTCGGTGCATAGTTATTATTTAACTTTATAGGGATATATACTTTAAATCCCAATGGCGCGCATTATTGTTAGTTGTAAGTGAGATATTAAGAATGTATTAAAATAACACTTAGAATAAAATAATTATTATTGGTTTGATGTAAAAGTAGGAGATAAATGATTTGAAATGATAGTAGTTAAGATTATGTGAGTGGATAATGAATGTGTAAGAATGATTGATTATATTATTAAATTATATAAATAACATAAGGATAATAAGGTTGAATTAAATTGGAATTAGATTTTTTTAGTATGAAATAAATGTGAACAAATTATTAAATATAAGAGTGCCCTAAAGTTTTTTCAGGACTTTATAAAAATCTAAATTCAGTAATATTCATTTTCACAATCCCCACGCTCAAACCACACAAAGACGAACAAAGCTACCACAAAAAAAAAAAAA